AAAGGTTTTTCTTCTTACATCCGTTTAACAGCTGAATGAAACTGATTTTCAGAGACTCTATGCACACAGCACTCCATACAGCTAATGCTTTTCAAAAATGAGCAGTTTAGAAGCAAATATTTGTTCTGCACGATAGCTGACTTACTGAATCAGCAAAAGGCTGTTAAATAGTGAAGAACACAATCTGCAATAACTGCATTGTTTCAGCACAAGTTTTCCACCAAAATTTGATATACTGATATACTCCTAGCTGTAGGAAATACATTATTCTTTATAGGTTGACCGTCATCTAAGCAGATACCAAAGCATTAGCTACACTTGAATTTCTGTACCTTGTAGGTACAGAATCATTTCACTTACGTGAAACAAGCTAAAATTTACGGCAGCATAAATGTACTTTACGGCGTTTGATCTCTGCAACCCTAATTTCTTGACTTCTGTGCTCCCTGTGGGATCACTCTGCAGCTCCCTTCCTGCCTGCCTGCTAAGCTCCCTTCTCATGGAAATTAAAGCACAATAGAAAAGAATGCATTTTGCAGAGCTCATCCAAGAGAAAGTCGGGGCTTCAGCAGGGCACACACCTGGAACTAGGAGGTGAAAAATGAATTTGGATTACACAGCATAGGCATAGCCAATGTTTAGTACAAGGCATGACAAAGATTTCATAACAAGTCACTTGGGACAGGAAGTATTCCCTAACAATTTAAATTAGAGGAGGATGCAAAGACTTTGCAATTACCCAAGCTGGAACTTGTATTTTAAGTTGAGAGCTTTCTAAATTTGACTTCAGAAGAAAAAGAAACTATCCTCCAGCCAAGTGTCGTTGCTGCTCTGCCTAAAAACAGGTATAATACTTGATCAGAACAAACCATCAATCTTCTGACTTAAGAATTTTGTGCAGGAAAGCATATCTGACTGGCAGGAAGATGTTTCCACAGGAAGATATTTCCCCAGGAAGTCTGACTACCTGTAATTTCCAGCGAAGAGGACTGAGAATCCTATTTATCTGTCACGGCAGTTAGAGCCATCATAGCATTTCTTTGACTCTTCATGGTAAAAGGTAAACTTCACAAAATTGTATTTCTATACAACTACAGACATACTGTCACAAGCCAGCTAGTAAATCTAGGCAGTCCTTCAGGAAAGAGTAGCTTAACAAGAAAACCAGCAATACCAACAAAAATATTTTTGTGTGACCCAGGATAGCTTGCATGTATGTATACACAGTCTAAGTAGAAATCTGGAACCAGCTGTGTTTTCATTTATTCAGTGAAACAAAACCTTTCTTCTAGACAGACTTGAAATTTTCTTTGCAAATAAACATTTTTTGGTGAAAATGTATGCTCTTGATACTCAGGTCTCGCTGACCAAAGCTGTGTGACAGTAAGAATATGACATGTGCTCTTTGGAAAGGACAAAATAAGTGGGTCTTTCAGTTGAAAAGGGACAAGAAAAAAGCTTTTTAATACTGGTGCCCTTCTGAAGTTCAGTGCATGTCCAAATACTAAGAACGATGTTCCTCAGAAGGATATTTATGAGTCTTAAGGATAAGTAATATTTGAGATGATTTAACAATGTCCAGAAAAGAATAAATTGAGTTAGACGTAGATAAATCATTGAGAACTCTTCTGAATTTGATATAATCTCAATAAAAGGTCAAGAAGATCCCTTCAGGCACACCATGAGTAGTATGTTTTCCATAGTTTTCAACTCTCCATAGGAAGAACAAGCAAAGCAATACCAGAATACTAACCAGGTAGAAGTTAGAGCTCAAACCCACAGTTAAGTTTGGATGTATTTTAGATAGAGCAAAATTAAATTAACTCTCCAGTTTGCAGCACATCTTTTGGCACTTTTATTGAGTTTAGAAGGTTCTTCAGAAGATATCTTGTATGATACAATTTTTTTTAATAAGGTTTTCATGTGTTGATCCACCTCCAAGAATCATCCTTGTTCTGCAAAGCCTAATTTGACTACAAGCGCCACAGATCAAGTGGCTGTCACTTTTCTGTGTCATGTGCACCTCTCTTGCACTGGAATGGAAAGCTGTTGTGCTCCTCTCATCAGTCCCCAGTATTTGTCATTGAATGGCAATACTGGTATCATTTACGGGGTGGAGTTTAAATTGCAATCACGAACTAGAAAGTGATTAAAAAAAAAAAGTTACAAAGGAAAATGTTACACTTAAGGAGCAAATGAGATAGCCTATGCCTTCAGTGAAGGCACAAGAGTGTGGCTGCATTGCTCCTGGGTTTAGTAACACACAGAGTAGAGGTGAACTGAGCCAGGGAGCCAGTTGGTTGACCAGCTTGGATTCAAAAGCTGCAAACCAAAATGTGCATTGTAGTGTATCCACATTAATATTATTTTTGGATAAATAATGGATTACTAACTGAAGGGGACAGCTTCAATATCATTTGGGCTGCAACAAATTTTACATGGACCACATAAGGAAGCGCAGTGCCAACAGCTGAAGGGAGGCAGTGCTTCCTCTCTGCTCTGCGCTGGTCAAACAGATCTGAAGCACTGGATCCATGGCAGAGGTGCCTTCCAACCTTATTTTGCAGTTCTGTGGTCTGCCAGCACCTCCAGTCCCACAGTGCTGTTATCTGAAGCCAACCAGGCTAAGCCACAGTTGTTCATCTCCACAGCTCTGGGCTCCAGCTTTCTGTTCTTTCTCTCAGTTAGTATCAGAAATTTCAGTTGCCATGGAGGAGGTGATAAATTTGGGAGATGCTTCTTCAAAGACGTAATTTTCAGAACTTGGTTTAAATACAGCAGATAACAGTAAATGGCAATTTAGGAGTGTTAATAATGCTCTGAGTGATGACGCCCATCTATTTGATTCAACTTACATTCTAGCACCATTGCAGCTCATGTTTACATCTTCAAGTTCAGAAAGTGACCTTTAATTTAAAAAAGGAATTGAAGAAAATGCGGCCATTTTCAAGTATAACAGAAAAGTTTATTTATGTAGTTTTGTTCTTGGTTTTGTATTTATAAGATCTTACAAAATAAATTTATCACATCTAATTTTTGCTTAAAGAACTAGCTTCTCAAGGACTAAAGGAAAAAAAGATACTGTCTTAAATTAATATTTCAATTAATATAATTTGAAATACAATTTTCTTCTTCCAAATCCTCACTGCAAAGATCTAAGTCATCAGTCTTTTCTTAGTCTCATGTAATGCAAGCCATTACTGCTGTACACACAGTGAGTGGTGCAACAGGGGTGAACAGCAGCATTTCAAGGGCACAAGAAGACCTACAGGTGCCTGTCTCACCAAACCCACCTTTCTTACACCAGGCACAACAGGTTTATACTGCAGTGATCGTCATCTCTGAATTTGCATTGCACAGAATCTCTTTTGGCACTGGAAGATGGTAATGAAAACCATTTGTATCGGCTGCTTACAGCAAAAGCTGGTTTCCCAGGATCAGGAAGCTGACACTGAGCAGGAGGGCATTTGCAAATGAGAGCAAACATTGGCATGACCTTACCTTGTCATGAGACTACCCTTTGTTTCTAGAGGCAAGAAACACTATTTATTAACTCACTAATTTTATCAGGTACAGTATTTCCCAGTGTAGTAAGCATTCAACTAAGCTTCATCTTGCTTGTTGATAACTGCAGAAACAGCAAGAAAATGGGCTTTGGCAGGTTATTTTCTGCTGACTGACTAACTGGTTGTTGAAGGAATTCATCAGTTGCTTTATTGCAGCTGTCAGGTCTGTCCTCTGTCAACAGAGCAGGGAGGGAAGAACAGTGTGAAGCAGACATAGTTATGAAACCATTTTTCAGTTCTGATAGCCAAGAAGGCAAAAAGTCATCCACACCTTGAGATTTGGTACCTCTCTCATGTACAGGTGATGGGCTCAAAACCAAGAGATATGCCAGCTTTATTTTAGTTGATTTCAGCTCTGTCTTCAACACGAGCTTGTTAAGGTACAAGAGATGATTCCCTTTGGTTTTCTGTGGGTATGGAGCTCCCAAAAACCCATCCTTCAGTGCACCACGGCTATTTTTCTTGGTGAAATCTTCTGTTTGCTCCCACGTGACTTTGTAGAGCAACAATCCTGCTGGAAGGCTGGTCGGTGATAACTGTCAGCCCAACATGATTAACATTTCCAACCAGGGCTTCTGGGGCTCCATTGGTGATTTCGAAATTATGAAGCTGAGCTTTATTGCTGACAAGAGTTTAGAGTATGATTTCAGACCTGGGTAGCTCAATAAAAAGTATGTGATGAATTTGTGTTCTAAATCAAGCTTCACTCAGCATGCCACTATTCTGAAATCATTTTAATTACTCTTTTCTCAGTTTTATTGGGAAAAGTACTGTTTCTCGTCTGTGGGGAAGTCTCTGGACTCTCGGGACATGCTGGAGACACAACAGCACACCAATGTGGTTATAAGCTGTTAGTCCCCAGTTCGCCCTGAGAGTCCAGAGGCTTCCCCATGCTGGTTGCTTAACTGTCGGTTACAATCCTCACACGTCAAAGCTACAGTGAAAATGTGTATATTGTGTATACATAAAGATACACTCCCAGTAATTCTAAGCTCTGCCAGCAAACTGGGAACAAAACAAAGATGGTAGCACCCGATCGTCACTGCGTTCAGAAAGACACTTGTGTGGAAAAGATCATCGATCGACAGAATCACAGAACGGCCCGGGTTGGAAAGGACCGCAGTGCTCATCCCCTTCCAACCCCCTGCTGTGTGCAGGGTCGCCAACCACCAGCCCAGGCTGCCCAGAGCCACCTCCAGCTTGGCCAATAGTCGCAGCTTCCCGCCGCCTCCCGCTCCGCTGCAACCCGCGGCCAGGAGCTCCGCGCAGCCGGACGTTTCTCCCCTCGCCGCCGCCAAAGGCCGAGGCTCGCGGCTCCGCGGCCGCACGCGTGCCCTCGGGCCGCCGCCTCCCCCGCCGCGGCTCGGGGCCGCCCGGCCCGCCCTGATTGGGCCCGCGGGGAGGCCCCTCCCGCAGGGCCTCCACCCGCCCCCCCCCCCGCCCGGGCCGGCCTCGCGCCGCGCTGCGCCCGCTCCCCAAATACGTCTTGGCGGCGCCGGGGAGCGCAGCGGAGCCGTGCCCGGAGCCGTGCCCGGAGCCCTCGGCGGGGCCGCGGGCAGCCTTCGCGCCATGGTGAGTGAGCGGCGGCTCGGCGGGGACCCTGGACAGCGCTGGGACGGGGCGCGGAGGAACGGGGGCCGGGGGGTTCGGGCGGGAGGCTGGAGCCGAGCCCCGGCAGCGTGGGGGCGCGGGGAGCCCCGCGGCAGGACGTGGGCACCCTGGGTTCGTCCCTGGCAGCGGTCGGCTCGAGCCGCCGGGCGCCTTTGTGCATTGTGTGGTTTCGAAGAACTCGCTATCCGACTGCGGGGCTGATGGCAGCCGTTCGGACTGGCCGGAGCGCCTCGCGATTAGGCGAGCTCTCTTATCTCGTTCGCGGCGCGATTCGCATTGTTGCACTTGATGAATTTGACACGAGCCTGACGTTTAATCACGCGCTTAAACCCGAACAATAACTTCGCTTTTGCATTCATTTCTTTTTACTGTATTGCTCAGGAACGGCAGATCACTTTTTGCTGTCGATTTCTGTAGCTTAAGTATTTTTCCTACTTTTTCGAGGCTGGTAATTGCCATTGGGAGTGGCTAGAGCTAGCTGTTTCTGTGGCTCAGGCTCAGTGAACGTCACTAGCCCATGGCCAGTAGTCCCTTTAAATATATATATAAAATCATCTACTAATGATGCTTGAGACGTTTTTCTCTCAAATGTAGAGGAATACCTTTACCTATCATCTGTATTTTCTCCTGCTTCATCCAATGCTACTCCTACAGCAGGTTTATTTGCTTCTGCTGTGCACATTGTGAGGTGGCTTAATTACGTGCAAAAGATGAGTGGACAGGAAAAATAAAAGTCTTATGTGAAGATGTGATCTTGGTATTGCTGTACCGGTGTGAAATGAACTGGTTTGGAATGCTGTATTGATTACAATGTTCCATGTACAGGTTGGTATGAAGAGGTGTGGTGTAACTTTTGTTTGTTGAAATATTAGTAGGGAAGACATTTTTGTTCACTCAGATTTTCAGTCGTAAAGTCTCAGTCAACAGTTGTAATGGTGCAATTATTCATTAGTGTAAACTGCAACGAAACAAGTGCAAGTATTCAAGTGTTCAGTTATCTAGTAGAAGACAGAGCATTACTTACTTGGAAATGGCATAATCTTTTAGATTTTCTTAAGGCAGGATTCCCAATGAAGCCGAGATCCCTTTTCATGTAGTTAAGATAGCTTGTTTCCAAATTGCAGAAAGTAGGAGCAAGGTGATGTATACTTTAAATCACATAAATAGATCCTCTCCTTTCTAGCATTAGGAGCAAAAGGTGGTGACAGTCCATACTGGAAAGAGGTTCCAGTAGCAGACTATTTCACACAGTTAATCAGAAAATTTAGGCAATTGAAGCAATGAGGGACATGTGAAAATATGTTCCAAATGGGATGTTCTCTTCACTGTGAAGTTTTTTGCTTGGATGGTGTTGCTCTCTCACTCCAACTGAATGTACACTCATAGCTCTGCTGAGTACTCTTTTGCTTTGCCAATAGCAAGAACCTTAAATGAACTGGATGATTTTAAGGAAGGGTGAGAAATGCTATAATGGTGATATGAAAGATTTCACGCTGCACATTCTCAGAAGAGAAAAGCAATTGCTGATACCATGCTGATCCAAATTATCCAGGAAAAGTAAGAAAAGAGAAAGGAAACCATATCTTGAGATCTCTTGTTTTTGTTTGTTTTGTGGAATTATGTAGCCTACAGCTCTTATGACTCATGGCAGTGCAAGATTATGAGGCAAACACAGCAGGAGAAACTGAATTTAGTTCTGTAGTGGTATCTTTAATCCTCTTTTTTGCCACAATCAACAGAAATTGTTCACTGCCCCTTGTCCCATTGGTTCAGTACAGTAGATAGAGAACTATGAAATGAGAAGAAAAATGAGAAGTCAAGGCTGGTATTCATGTTGTGTCCATAGAAGCAAGTACTAAAGTAATGTGTATTTGTGTTATTCTGGTGAATGTTTATTTAAAAATATGTCCATAACCACTCTGTGACACTACGTTTCAGAACAGATCCCCTAGTGAAATCCAAACATAAATAAGAATTTACCAAAAAAATGCTCAGAATATCAGTAATGATCAAAACTTGGCTATGTCATGTAGTAAAAGATTATGTCACAGCCACTATGAAGATGAATGCTGTCTGTCTGAAATTCTAAGCTAAGGTCGAGAAGCAAAGGAAGCAGTCCAAGAACTCAAGGTAGATTCTGTAGAAAATTAAGCCATTTTTCCTTTTAATTGAAACTCTTCATTACACCAAAATATGTTGTAAATTGTGTTAAAAAAACAATAATAATAAAGAATATTGAGCACTGCAGTACCCAGATGTAATATTCTGAGTTATAAGCAAGGAAATATGTCTTACAAAGTACTTGGCCACTTTTTCTATCTACTCTATGCATTCTGTAGGTCTTCCATGACTGGTTGTACCAGCTGTTAGAGAATCAAGTTTGTCTTATCAGTGTTCAGGGACAAGAAAGAAACACTGTTCAGGACAGAGTATTAATATGTATTCTGTTTTAAAATGTCAGTAGGATTTATGCACATGCATAAATGGGGTAAGGCTAGGGTTTAAACAACTGTTGTTTCTTTTTTGTTTGCTTGGTCATTTTTTTATTGTGGGTGTTTTGTTTTGTTTTGTTTTGTTTTCCCTAGTGAAGATGGGAAAACTTGCTAGAAACAGCACATTTTTATTACATTTCTGCTTATTGATCTATGAATCAATTGAAAAGACCGTGTTAATATCTTTAAAGCATCTTTTAACTTGTAACAAAATATCAATTGCTATTCATTTGGTAGCATCCCCTTGGTCCAGTTCTTTGGTTGTCCTAGTCAGGTGATGCCACTGCTCAATTAGTAATAGTGTTTCCTAGTTGGTTTAGTTCATTTATGCCCTATAGTTCACAGAGTATCCTTATTTATTTTTGTAGACGTGGAGTTCAGAGCAATCTGACTTCTGCTCTCATTTTATTTCTTTGTTAAGTAGCCTTCATTCATTCATTTGTTGAGGAGTGCGGATACCATTGCTGCCAGTTATTCTGCTGCTTCATCACCTAATTTGGAGCAAAGATGTTCTCTAGGAATTAATTTTAGTTCACTGTAGAGAGGTCTCGCTGTGTCCTCTTCACTGCTGAAGACCCCATTTAAATTTGAGGCGTAGCACTTCCACAGGCTTTCAATCTTTGAGATAACTTCACTTTATGGGAGTACAGTTTTATGGGATACACTTATTTTCCATTTATATTTCTCATGACGTGGTAGTTTGCTTAAATGGAATCAATGCCTCTGCTAAGATTACAGCTTTCGTGTTTAAGTGCAGAGTAGTCCTCTCTTCATTGAAATGCCCCTTTCATGCTTCAGAGCCTCAAGGCTACTTTTAGGAACTCTCCCTGCTTCTTGAACCTGGCAGCATTATCATTACTCTTGATTTCATGATTCTCGATTTACGGACATTATTCTTGATTTTGTTGCTCTAACTCTTAATTAGTTCCTTAGTGTATCTTCAAGCTAACCCACTGATCGACTCTTTTCTTGCATATTCATTCCAGAAGTAGCTGTTCCAAGAGAACGGTGCCCTGCTAGTAAAAGCATTCAGACAAATGCAAATCAGCACCAGTAGGCTGCTTTCCCACAGGCAACACGCTGAACCTAGCTGATAAGCAAGCAGTAACCTTGCATATTATGTCTGAGAGGGCACTTCTTTCACCATCCCCCCTTTGACTGTGCCTCTCACTGTGCAGAGAATGCTGCTCTCTCCCTGCTCGAGAGCCAGATATTTTTTCTCTGCCTCTGGGCAAGGGGAAAAATACCTGAAGGAATGCACCTCAGCGTGTGGCTGTGGGGCACAGGGCAGCCTGAAGCTGTCTCTTGGGGCTGTTTGCCTGTGACTTGCACTTTATGCGTGGCCGTGCCCATTGATCCTTTCAGCTGAGTCCATATGGAAAATAGGTCAGCCGTGCAGCGGCTCAGGAATAGAGCTTTGATTGTGTGGGTTGTAATATAGAAAGCAGGGTGTGCACATTATCATGGAAGAGGCTGGAGGCAGTTCCAAAGATTTTATCAAGCGCTGTGGAATCTAGCCCTTAGACAGCTATTTGTATTATAGAGTTACAGGGAATATTCCATGCAAGTCATCCAACTGTTTCAGTGTGAGTAAAAAAATCTTACTGTAAGGCAATGTGTTAAAATCTTTTTTTTCCCCCATGAATGGAAATCGAAACAAACATACTTATGAAGTGAACTTCTTCCTTAGCCCCATTTTAAGATATTCAGACTGAAAATAAGTCAGATCTTTTGGAGAAATGATATTTTGTGGGGATCCGGCTGGTGGTTTTAGTGCACTTCAATTCTAGCATGTCACGGATTCCAGAGGGTGCAGTAAAAGATGGTTCCTGTGATGCCACACACAGTGGTTGCTGCTGAACTCTCCGCTTTTAATCAGCAATAGTACAGTTTTTGAGATCCCAGGAACAGGTCTTTTTATGGTATATTAAACAGGAACACGTTGTGGGGAGGAAACTGCCTTTCTAATGCTGTTTGAGGTAAACATGTTTAATTTCGTGTTAACCTTGCGTTCCACTTGGTGCTCCATGCAGATGGAAACTGACAAAAGCTGTTCAAGGAGAGCGGATTTCTCTCTTCGGCAAATGCAGGAACCCTTCACACATGAGAGAGCATTGTAAAAGGCACTGGCTGAACACCTCAGCAAGATTTCCAGTTTGTTACTTGGGAAAATTGAGATTTTGCATTTCCTCACAATTATTATACGTTTTGCAGACGGAGGACGATATACCCAGCTGTCTTGTTAGTAGGGAGGGCTATCTGCTAAAAGCTGTGTGGCCCTGTAGTCTTGGCTGCAGGCACTCTGGAGCCTAAAATACTCGTTGCAGTTGTTGTTTTAAATAGGACTGCTAAAAATGGCAAAAATTCCATGTCTTTAGGGAAAGCATGCATCAATCTAACTTTTAATTTAACTTTTTTTTCTTCTTGCCTAAACTGTCTTTGTAGCTTTCCCTTTGCACAGACAAGTTGTGAGTGCAAAACCATTGGTCTCTGGTTGAGAAAAATGCTCAGTTAATCAAAAAAACTGTTCAAATTTTGGTGGAAATAGCCATTAGTCCACAGAATTCACAGAGCACGTTGAAGGATAGGATTTTAAAATTTCCACATGGGGAAGAATGGTATGAAGGATAAGTTAAGAGACTTCGCAAGGCTTTCGGACAGTGTGGTGCCAATTATTTTTTCTCTCAACAAGGTCAAAAAATCATGACAGGAATGATCAAGTAATTTTAGATTGAATGAACTTCTAGCGAGGGAAACCCGTGCAACTGTGTTGAAGAGAGAGAAATTCACTCCTTAGTCCAACTGTGGTTTTTCTTTTGTGATCACCAGTGGTGTATCTCATTGCCTCACTTCCAAAAGAGGCATAGTAGCACTTTGTATCCCATTTTTCTCTCTTTGCTATTCAGAGGGCAAGCTCTTCAAGGCAAATAATGATATTTTGCTATATATTTGAATATGTCACTGATCGTAATTTGGGCCTTTTGAAAAGTTAAGCAAGTAACGCACCTAGCAAAGGTGATAGAGAAAAAACAGTAATTCCAGCAGAATGCAAGATTACATTGGCACAGTTTCCCAGCTAAGCATTCTGTCCAAGGATAAACTCATCAGGCAGAAGGTTAAATAACAGCATTTCAGTTAAAGCAAAGGCTCTGTAGGAATTGTCATGTGTTGACCAAGTGTCAGTGTCACTAACTGAATGGTGGCCTCCTTGGTTACTGAAGTGTCATTCAGTAGTTCCTTTCTCAGACAAAAAATTCAGACAAAATTTGATTGTGTGGTGGAAATACCGTGGAGGAGATGCAGCTTTCAGTTTTGAGTTAGGTATGGCTTGCAGAATGCTTTAATAGGTTCATGAGGCAGAGCCTACATCGATCGCTTGACACTGAAAATCTACAGCTGATCTGAAAATTAGCATCAGCTTAGATGAGCTCTGCACTTACTCTGCGTGTCATGGTTGTGTGTCTGGGTTGTGAGAGATGGTGCATGATAGTCAAGTAATGTGGAAAAAGTCACTGTCCACATCAATGGTAAATTTTATAACTAGTGGAGTCACAGCTTAGTCAGAGTTTGAAGTGCACAAGTATACCAGACTTGAGAGAATGGGAGGCATCATGACAAGATACGCATTATTCCCTCAGCAGAGAAGAGACTGGCACTGGGAAGTAAGAGTAACATTTGTTTTTTGACTGTTAATTGATATAATGTAGGAAATGTGCTTTTGTACCTTCCTTGCAGTTTCTCTTTGGAAATATTTTACACCTCTAAGCAATTGTCATTTCTAAGCAAAAATATATTTAAATGATAGAAGGCAGCTAAATGGTAAAAGTATCTTTTAAAATAGGATTTGAAGCAGCAAAGAGCAAGGATTAGTGGATGAATACAGGATTATGATTTATATGTAGTAAAAGCTAGAAAAGAACATCCATCATGGCCCATGCTGTGGACACATTTTAGTTAGCAACATATTGGAATAGGGAAAAAAATGAGGTAAGAAACTGAGAGCATACAAACACCTTACAGGCTTGGTGTATTAAAATATATCAGTTTTTATTGCAGTTGCTGCAACTTCCTGTGTTGTAAATGGCTGGTCTATTTACCATTGGAATAAATATGCAAAAAATAATTTTTATGCAACAGTTTTAATAATGTATTCTCACTCGTTTCTTTCCCTGCTATTGCTCTACAACCACGGAAAACACTCATAATCAGTAGTCAAATATTAATGAGTTAATTCAGAACATTAAGGCGGAACTTAAATTAGGTAATCGTGCTTTCAGCAAAGAAGCTGCATTACTTTTCAATGTACTCCTTTTGTTAGTTTGATATATAATAGACAACGTGGGATTTAGGTGCTACTTATAAACAGAGTTGAAGGCTCAGAACAAAGGTTTACGACATAAATATGCTGCACAGAACTTGGAGATACCGTGGGAACTTCATTCCTGTATGATCACAGGATGCTGGAAAAGTTGGTGTCTTTGTCTCATTAGGAACTGCTAGGTGCAAATATTTAAACCATGAATTTTCAGTATCACCTAAGCTGTAAACACAAATATCCAATATTCGTGCAAAGACCGTAAAAAGCAAGGCAGTCTTTCTTTTCTCTCCATTTTTAACATCCTGAGAGGACGAACTCTGTAAGATTCATGGTATTTCCAGGTGCTCCAAAATACCAAGAGGCTTAAAGACTTTTTGTCTTGGCATGAAGTTCTTCCTGAAGGTGGTACTCTATTTCTTCATCCTTAAACTTACATCTCTCATTTTATCTTCTGGGAACTCCTGCCTATCAATCCTTCCCTTTGCCCTGACTATAAAAAAGTTCTCTTAGCCTTTTCCTTGTGAAATTTCATGTATGTTCCTAGAAAAAGAGAGAACTGCTTATAGAGCACCATCTTTCTCTGCATATACACACAGATGGAACCTATTCCTTGTCATGGGGTTTCTTTGATTAAGAGCCCAGTTAACGATGCATTTAACTTTCCAGTCAAAGGAGCATTTCTTTTCAGGATAGTAATTCAAAATCTGTTTGAGGTAGTTCTCTGAGTACATGTGAACTTTCCAGGACTTGCTTTTGGTTTATTTTTAGGGTTTTATCTCAGTTTACTGTCCATGCTTTTACACATCTGAAACAACAGAGCTGTTTTTGGTCTGGTTTAGAGCTCCTATTCAAAGCACAAATAGGTAACATTACAAATCAGAGGTAGTCTGTTGTGTGGCCCTTGCTTAACCCCCATAATTATTTTAAAATTGTTTCTGCCTTGAAGTAAAAGGCAGTAAAAACCAAGGAGAGTCTGTGACAGCTTGCGAAGCTTTAAATAGAGATGCATTTTTCATCACAGTCTCCATCTTGGTAAGATTTTTGAAAATGGTGTGGTGTCTTTACATAGTGGGGGAAAAAAAACAACCACCCAGCAGAACAGGTGGTCATGGTTGGTGTGCCATTTTAAAGGCTTGGAAAATAGTAAATACAGAGTGGGTGCTGTACATCATTTGAGTGGGAAGCCGTACTTTAACGATCCTTCAGCTCCCATGTGAGTTTTATGATGTCTGGGGAGTTTATCACTGCAGAAGGTGACGTGCTGCAACCAAGATGTTTAACAGTTACGTTTCATCTTAATTTTGCTTCATAATGAAATCAATCTGAGACCAGCCCATTGCCTCTGCGAAAGCAAAGCAGCCCAGATCTTCTGCAGTCCTTTCCTACCACTTTAGGGTTCAGACTGCAGCCTTCGAGGATGACAGGCACTTCACATCTTCACATCATTCACACCTGTCATTTCCACATACCTGTGTGCTGCTACATCTTTTGCTGACGCTCCAATTTGGAGCACTAGCTTCTAATGCAAGGCTCTCAAGCTGTTGCTTGTTCATTTTGCCTGAGGACTGGAACACGAAGGCTCCCAGCACTGTAGCATCAACGGCCACACCTTGAACTACAAACTAAGTGCTGATACAGTTTTCTACCTTCTGTGGTGGAGAAAAAGCAGTTATCAGACTAAAAGAACTGTCTGATCCTTTGGAATTTTTTCTATTTCGTTGTTTCTCTTCTTTCTTAAGGATTTTTTAATCTTTGTGTCCTTCTTTGCTTTCTTGTTTCGTTTTTTTGTTGTTGTTTTTCTTCTTCCTTGTTCCTTTCTCTGTCTTTATCTCCTTACTCTCCTTTTTCTATATTTTCTCACGTATTTAAGAACAGCAGATTTTCATCGTAACATTAGTTTGCAATGAGAAAAACTGCTATCTGAGAAGTGCAGCAGAGCTTTGGTGTTTAAGGCTTAGGTAAGTACACAGTGATGTTAACGTAACAGTACATCATGCACTTGTACAGGTGGTGAGATCAACAACTGTGGACAGTTGTGTGTTGTCTACACTGACTGACTTACGAAAGCTTCCCCTTCGTTTCACGCTGTGCAGTGTTCAGGCTCTCTATCATTAAAAAGGCATTTGTTTGGATCACAAGCATGTTTGGTAAGTATCATTCATATGGCCCTTGTCTCATGAAAACAGAGAAATCACCTGCCTTGATTAAAGGAGTCAGTATCTGCAAATTGGGAAAAATTCTTGAGAACCTTGCCCAGAGTTGCACAATTTTGTGGGAAAAGTTGCAGAAGAGCCCTTATGGTCAAAATGCATGTAATTTATCTCCACCTGAAGTTGTACCTGAACTTGATTTTTTTGTTGTTTTTGTGTGTTTTGTAGCAGAAAACATCTGTAACCATTAAACTGAAAAGAAAGGTGCTTTCTGTTTCCAGCCCTGCAGATATTATGGTAGAGAATAATTAGGAAAGTGGCTGATCTCAGAGCTGTTTTCTCTGCCTTGTGCTTTAGGTAAAGCAGTGTCAGTAGCTGCATGATGAGTGTGAAAACCTCTGTTCTACTGCCTGTTCTGATTGAATACCACTTTAATAGATATTTTTTTTTCCTATCTGAAAAATTAGAAGGCCGTGACCTTGCTGCTGCAGGACAAACTATCTTCACTAATTAGAAATTCTTGCTTTTAGCTTCTCATGCAGCATGTTTGATCTCAGATGAGACCAGTTGTGTGTTTAATATCATATCTCACACCAACATGCAAAAACCCAGAACAACAAAAGCCAAGGGCATATTTTTATTCAGAAACAAGAGAACAGCCAAGGCAGTATTTTTGTGACAACAGTAGGAGAACTGATGGGGACTAATGCTATTCCTGCTATACCCAGAAGCTTACTATCGCTTTCAGTGTGAGTTGGCATGAGTTCCTAAATATGAATAAATATGAAAGGCAGTTGTCTGTGATTTTCAGTGTGAAAATGATCTTGTAGGCATTGTACACACAAGTCAGAGGTGACAAACATTACATTTAAAATCTCTGCACTTGAAAGCTACTAGTGAAACGCTTGGCATTCTGCAGACCTAATTTTCAAGCCATTTTCTAAGATCTATAGCATTCAAGGCAGTTTTTAGTACTCCATGATTTCTAAAACTTGCTGTTCATTATAATTTAAAGCTCTGAACACAAAGGGACTATTTTAATGTATGCACTAAGACACTATACTCAATGTTTTGTATTCCTCTATCACACTCCAATGTCTTTGGAAAACAGTAATGGTATTTAGGAAAACCTGTGGGCCATTTTTGTAAACAATTATGCACATTCAACTTGAGGCAGATGAATTCATGCAGATACAGGACTCAGCAAGATAAGTGTCTTTGAAGATGAGGAAGAATTATTTGGTCATCTCCTGATGCTTTAAAGTTAATACGGTGATTCTCAAAGGAGAAATAACTTCATGCATTAGCAATTGGCAGTTTTAATAAGTTTATTGTTTCATTTATTATAGAAAATGTAGCAATCCTGGTTAAGACATAAATAATAGGTAAAGATTTAAGTGAAAAACACTCTGAGACAGAAAGCTATTCATTTCTTTTCTATCACAGCAGAAGAAACAATTGTATTTTTTGTTTTTTACTTTCTTTGGCTCTAGAAAGCGTTTCCAATCTATGAGCTAAACAAAAGTCAGATTTCTCAGGTACACAAGGTATGCTCAAAGGAGAAAAGTTTGCACTGGTAAGCTTGAGAGATACAGCTGTAAGTAGGTATTTGGGAAGAATCAGTAAACACAACAGTTGACAACTACTTCATGTTCTAGAATCACAAGGCTTTGCCTTTTGTGAATTCTAATTTACATTCCCCTGACTGCATGCATGTCTTTGATCTTTGTGTTTAACTCCTTCACACCGCCACGAACATGGTATTTCTGCAAGTCAAGCTTTTATTCTTGAAATGGCAGAAAGAGTGCTGAAGACATCAGTTTGTTTACATGCTTTCTTCTTAAGATGCTCACTAAAATCTGCACTTTTGTGGACTGCAAATGCAGGCTAAAGGGAAATGCTATATTTAAAATATATTCCTTTAGGAGTGTGGAAATAATTCTGGACATTTGGGATAGGTTTTGCTAATGTTTGTTCTCACTGTTTCAGTTGCTTTCCCCACTGTGTACCTGGATCACTTAAGGTGTCACCAATTATGTCACTTCATTATCAGGAGTTCTGAAGACATTTAAATAATGAGTTGTGGTTGCACACAGCAGATTGTACTTTCATGAAATATCTCTAGCTGTTCCCAAGAACGAGGGCCCATGAGCAGCCAACCTTCAGAGCTCCCACAGTTAAAGTAGCTGGAGTTTTCATGAGCACCACCTCTATTATAAGTGCTTAGCTGGTGGTGCTACCCATGTTTTGGACCTGTAGTGGAGTTGAGAGGATGCACCACAATCCCAAACTGCTATTTCTGCCTGAGAGCATGATGGAAGAGCCAAGAACCAGGTGCTGTGGGGCTGCCTGCTGGGCTTGCTATGGAATGTTTTCACAGATTGCCTTTGACTAACAGGAAGAGAAACATTTTCCCACGCTATCTTCTCAGCATGCCTCCCTGTTATTTGGTCCTAACACAGGGAAAATATTTACCCTGTGAAAGTGCGTGCGATACTTAAAATGACAAATATGTATCTTATAAGTTACATTTGGGAATCGGCCCTTCCTTTAGTTACAGGCCAAATCATGGGTGCAGTAATTAGGGTTTCCCGCGTGCATTTAATTGAAACCAGTCTAAGCCTCTCTTAGGGTTATATTTGGATCCAGGAATTTGCTGTAGACCACTGGAGGGAAATGGGTCGATCAGTATCAGAAATTCAGTGATACTTTAAAACTAGGGATTCAGCCTGTCTCCAAGCCCATTGGTTTCTATGCCGAGGCACAGAGCTTGTTGTTCTTATACCAACGTTAATATTTTAAAGCAGAAGAAGCATATGTCTCAGGATGACCTTAAATGACATACATTAGAAGTTTTGAAGTTTTGAAGTTTGCTTATGTATTCCCTGAAACTTATTTTGTGCTGATTGCCACGAGAACAAAGGAATAATTCAATTTTCTTATTTTCTGCATCTCCTAGCTTTGAAGTTGTCATTTTTGCAGCAGATCACAGTCCATGAGACGTGTATCACTGTGGCAATAACTGACTGCATTTCTCTGTTTCTTAAAGCAGTTCATGAAGAAAAGTGTATGAAGGTGAAGAAATTTCACATGAAATGGGGAGAAAGTCTTGTAAGCAACGTCTAGATTTTTAGCTTGTCTTAAGCTGTTATACAGGACACAGGAACAAGTCACCATGTTGAAATTGGGTTTGGTAAAATATTTGGGCTGTTAAATTAACAACTGATTACTATGGGTTGTAGTATGTATTGTATGTAATACTACCTTGAACATACATTAGTAGTCACTGCAATTTCACTAGGCATTTAAGTATGGGCAGTGTATTTCCTTTCTACCAAAGGTGTGCTGTGATTAACAGAACTGTTGTGAGTGTACTTCTTTTAGAAATAGCCCCAAACAGAGCTAAATCTGGAAGTCAGGACACTGGAATTAGGCTTGCACAGCACAAAATGGCATTTAGTGCTTTGGAGTGAAAAATAGCACTTCCCTAAAGGGCTCTGGTGTACAGACAGATTAGAAGTAGGGACAGCTTGCCAGAAAGAGGGGTGGATGTTTACAGGGGAAAAAGCAGAAGTTAATGCCTGACAAAGCATATTCCTTTCTGGAGATAGAGTATAATTTGAGGTTGCTGAATCCAGTCATGTCTGGGGTACCGCTGACTTATTGTGAAGTCTGCTGTTAAAAATCATCACATCTCACCTGACCTACAGAGAGGATAACAGTCTTGTCTTGAAGTATAGCCTTTGCTCAAGTAGCAACTGTGCAGTCAAAGAGCCTAGAATCTTACTGAAAACAAGGTATTGCTTTGTAGTGTAAGTACAATGGTATCTACACAAGTGTAGTAATGATCACAAGTGTAGCGATGATGTAACAAGTGTAGTGATGATTCAGTAGTCACCTAACACCCAAGTCCTTGGTTTTGCAATTTTCCTTTTTACACTTATATTCTTTATGCAACTTGGTCTTACTGATATTTTAATTAAGTTTGCCTTGTTGCTGCAGATTGAAAAATCCTATCCCTACAGTGTACTACATTAATGTGTACATTACATGCTATTCTTGGCCAATGACACAGCTGTCCTCAGGTAGGTTAGCCAATGTATTTACTCTGTTAATGACAGAACTAACTTACTAGAAAAGAAACAAATGAGGCATCCTCAAATTTCAGTGGAAGGTTTAGTCTCTGAATGCGGAGATGCAGAGAAAAACCTTGGTCCTGTCTACAAGGACGTGTGTCTTCCAAGACATCCTCCACTTAAGTCAACAACTGGCACTAACTGGCATTGTTCTGTTATGACTTGGTGCCACTCAGACAATTGGAAACAGATTTGCCTGTCTCCTCCAGTTACCTTTTGTTTCCTAAAGCAGCCATACCCAAACAAATTAACTTTTTGAAGGTATGTGCACACTGAATGTGTTCAAGTTCAATGAAGCAGCCCAAGTAAGTTAGTTTGCTTACTTGTGCAGGATTTAGTGAGATTAAAACAAACAAACAAACTTACTTTGACTTCTTAAAATATTAACTTCTATTTTGATGCAGACTTGATCCATTTTCTCTGAGCATCTTAGAAGGCTCCTTAAAATCTTTGGAAAAGGGGAAATCAAAGCTTTGATTCTGCTGCTACACATATCTCCATAAGTAGAAAAAGTCAAGTGTTGCTGTTGCATTTCAGAATTTAAGACAAAATGACAGGATTTAGTTTTATTCCCTGAGATTCTTTGCTAAAAGAGCAAAATGCACACTGAGCTATTCCCAATAGGGTGGTGGGTTCTAATCTGTCTTGCTAGGAGATACTTGTGGTCTGCCTGTGTGTAAAGAGATCGTGCCTTGCTCTGTGCAGAGGCCTACTGGCAAGGGGTAAAAGGCAGTGATTTCTTTAATCCCACAAGGATTAGAGCTTGGTGGGAATTGCAAGTCTCCATTTTGCATAAAGACAAGACAGATGTTAACAACTGCTTGCCATTCAGGCAATGACTTCCAGACCACACTAAGCTCCTTCAAGCACTGCAATTGCTCTTGTGCTGCAGAAAGTTAGATCCAGTCAGTAATATATTTTAAGGGTTTTTTTGCATCAGTCAGTATACATTTTTAAAATTATGGCTCGGTGTGCAGAAGTTCACCTAACTGATATGTCTGACTGAAAATAGAAAGTGACACTATGGCATGACATATGCTTCTCTGATGGAATGACGTAGCTTATGTACAGAAAAAGGTATTTCACGTCGCGTCTAATTTTTCCTCCCATGTCTTTAAGATTAAATAACAACTTTAGCTACTGTTAGCAAGTGTTGTTGCTTAATTCTTATAAATGACTGCATTAATAGAAGGCGGTTTTACTGCATGATTTATTCATTGCACTCTATTTCATGGAATTGTCAAGGAACTGTTTTAACAGAGGAAAATATTCAGAAGCAGCTAGTACAAATAATCATACAGGAAGACCTTTTGGCTGTAAGACAAGTACAGATGTAAATACACAATGAAATGTTTGCACAAACCATTTTGAACACTGTTAAATTATTCTACTGCTATGACTATGCCATGTGAAGTCATCTGAGTTTTGCTGAGTGGCACAGTGCCACGCTGTGTTCAGCCAGACACTAAATAAATTTGTTGCTTGCAGTTTGTTCTCACCACAGATTATTTCATTTCAATTTTTCAGTTTGCTTCCAAAGGTAAATACGACAGCAATTAATACAGCAGAGATGAAGAATTCATATAAAACACTGCTGCTCCCGTGGGATAAGCTCTCACAGAGCATGTTTGGAGAGGGATCAAAACCAGAAACTTTTCCATGGTTTTTTCAAGTGCCGTATTTTTTTTTTCTCATGGTCAGAAAATGTTTTTAAACGCTGTGAAAAATGGGAGGGCTGGAGTTTATAATTCTTGAAACGCATTTGCAAATGTTTGATTCAACCTGTGACACGTACCGTATCTCATCTTTCTTATAACTTTTTGAAGTCCATCGTACTGCTGGAATTTCTTCTTTAAACACGACACAGATGATCCTTCTCCTGACAGACGTTCAACAAACGCTGCCCAATTACAGTTGGAGTGAGGCAGGTTTTCCTAGAAAATGATATGTTTGCTGAATTTTAGGTAGATTAAGTGCAAGGTACACTTAGGATACCAAGTGGAATTGGCAGGCCAAGTGCATAATCTTGCTTTGGTCACCACTTTGAACTTGTCGTGCCTGTTAAGTTGATACTGGTTCGAACTGGGATATATGTATCAAGGGACCATTCCCTTTGTTCAGGGGAAAACAAGAACTTCAGGACATTTACACTAATAGTACGCTAATTAATACACTATCCTAGCATGCCAGCGAACTTCCCCATATAATTCCAGATTACTAGCTTCTAGAAACAGAAAAATAGTTCCACCAGCAATAGAGGAAAAAAACAAACCAAAAAGCCCAACCCAACTTTCAAAATTCAAGTATTTTTTTCTTCTAAGATCTAGGAGTAGAAATATGTTGAAATCTAAGTCTCCAAACAGCAGAATGTTTAAGTAGATACATGTAAGTTCCATCACAGCCACAGATCTTCTCATCCTTTGACAGTGGTTCAAATGTATATGATAAATGTTATCCCTTCTCTTAACAGTATTTCAATGCACGAATTCAACAAGAAGTACAGTTAAGTACAGGAAAGGTGGATTTTTTGTTGTTGTTGTTTTGCTTTTCTCTTTTAATAATGTAATATGAGGTTTTATAATGGCTCCTGAAGAAAAATATTTATGTATATATAACGATGCTTATATTATAACAAATAACAATATGTGTTCATGTATATCTAGAGAGCGTGATCCTTGCTTGGAACGTTGCTCTGCCACGTTTGCTACTCAAGAGCATGCAGCACTAAAAAATAAAGTGCTACTGATATTCATATAGTAGAAACAAGTCAATTTCAGCGTTGAAATCAGGAATATAAAATCTTACGCGAGCATTCTTTTGCCTCTTCTTCTTCTCCCCGTGTTTACAGATGCTTACAATAACAGTTTCGATAGATACCCTCTGGAAGCTGGCCTGCCACCATCGGCATTGCAGCACACTTGAAAAGGGCCTTTTCTGCCAGGTATTTTTTTCAGCAGGAGGTCCAGCCACAGTGCCTTCTGCTTGTTGCTGCTTTCATCTGCAGCACTCGTGCAGCGCTCCCCTGCCGTGCCATTCATTACAGCTGTTTCAAAAGCAGCAGTTCACAACCTGTATTAGGGAATTAGTTATTTTTTACCTCGGTCCAGTGGCCCTTCGGTTGTCTCGGAGGGAGGAATAAGCAGTGTGGTGCACACAATTAAAGCCACAGTGCCTCTGAAAGAAAGCCTTATTGGGCTGTACCTCCAGAGAGAGAAATGTAATGCTTCAGCTGCTTCAAGAGTTGCCAGAAGCTCTCAAGAGTTATCTTGTATTGCATGGGGATGAGGAGATCTGATTAAATGAGGTATGGTCAATGGAAAATGAATTAAGTCTTACTGAAATAAATAAAACAAACAGGGAATTAATTCCAAATTAAACTGAAATGCTCAACTCTGGCTTTAATGCATTGTTTGAAAGGCATCACCTTTAAAAGCATAAAATCTCCTGGTGTTTCCAAGCAGCTACATCAGTTACGTGGCCTATTTCCTACCTGTTGTGGGCAGTAGCTGTGGCTTTTACAGCAGGCACTAACGCATGGTCTTGGACGGTCTGCTGTTCCAGGCAGTTGAGGGCTGACTTCAGTCAAATAGTTCTCTGCTCCAAGAAGGATGCCTTTGGCATTGATTAAATGGAGATTTAAGCATCCATTACAAATCAGTTTCATTGTGCCACTTCAAGTACTTTTAGTAGCTGCTTATGAAGAATTAAAAAGATTTTTCTCGTTAGAACTTTGCTATTTGCTCTTTCAGGAACCTCATCCATCACCATGAACAAAGATGTATCAGATGAAGCAGCTCCTCTGCCTTAATCGCTGGAGCCACGATTCAGCCAAGCACTTAGCCATGCACACAATTCTAAATACCTGAAGCATTCCAGTCAGTAGGGAAAACGTGCTTAAAATACTGCATGAGCAAAGCTTAAGTGTTTTCTTGAGCAAGGCTTTAAGAAAGCCATTATTTTAATGCATGCATGGCATAAACTGCCACTTCATTTTTAAAGGAGAAAATAAAATAATACATTTGTGTGTTTTTTGTTTTGTTTTTTTTTTTCCTTTCTTCTTTTCTAGGGCACACATTTGTTCCTGAGATGATTTATAGCTACCAATAATCTTCCACGGTTGTTGCTTCATCAAATATTCTGGCATCTTCTTCTCTTGTTAGTAAACAGAAGAGTACTGTTAAATACCAAGCCAAGTACTCTTATCCTTAATAGACAGTACAGCATGTTCTGTACAAAACTGAAAGACTTGAAGATCACAGGGGAATGTCCTTTCTCCTTACTGACTCAAAGTCGTATTGCTGATGAACATGAGAAGGGCTGCACAGAAAACAGCTCCAGAGCAGCTTTGCCCATCTGCAAAGAAGTCCATGAAAAAGACACTCAAGGAAACCTTCCACAAAGGAAAACGAGCAGAAGTAGAGTGTACCTGCACACGTTAACTGAAAGCATCTGCAAACTAATATTTCCTGAGGTAAATGGATACTGTGTATTAACACCAGTGTTTCATTATGTACATTAAAATGCATTTTATGCAAGCCTTTAGATCTAAGCCTTCTGAAAGCCATTTTGACTTCAGAGTTTGTATTACTATGTAGGTCAGCAGAGGTTAAATCGTCATTTCATCCTTTCCAATTCCTTTTTTGATACAATTTTGCCACAATCAGTTTTGTCTGCTCTTCCACTGTATTTCCGTATATTTTGTCCTGTATTTGCAGTCTCCCACTGCTCATTTTACTCGTTCCTCTTAAGAGCATGTCTTTCCAAAGAATTTTTTTTAACATAGAGATACAGTTGGAGAAACTCTGCCCTGGTATCTAATCACATGAATTACATGTTTACCTAATCAATTCACCTAACTGAATCCAGGCTATGCGTATCATTTGTTATCACAAATAAATATACAAATAAATTCACTGTTTTCATCTGCTATTATGCGAACCTCCTGCAATATTACTTTAAATACATTCATGTCCATGTTTAATGCAAAGGAAAATTCTAAAGCATATATTTGGGCAAATGGTTCAAACAAAGAAATAGAACTTTTGTCGTGTGTGAGCTGTGTCATAGCTACTAGATTTAAATGAGCAAAGACTACAGAACTTGTCATCTAAGTTCCAGTGTCCTCCCAGCAGAAACCATGCCTGACTCTTTGCCCTGGAGAGACTGAACAGAGTATCTGTGCAACTGGGAAATGCAATGATTATGTTGAAACACTGGGTTAATTAATATATTTTCAGTAATAGTCTCTGCTCAGTTCTAATGAGAACAGACACAGCGCATGCTATTTCTGTATATGAGAACTACAGCTTTAAAGAAAGTCCCACTGCATGGCTTCCAATATGTGGGTATACCTCAAATTTTGCTGAAAACATGGACAAATAGACTGGTCTGTGTTGGGATGACAGTGAACAGCCATCTCTGAGTACTCAGTTTATTACAATTCCATTACTTGTACTAAGAGCAAAGTCAAGGAGGCTGTGGCCATGTATTCCCAAAGCTCCTGAACCTCAAGGTTCTTGTCGCAGATATCAACAGTTATTGAAGTTTTATGAATTGGAACTTTGTTCAGATATAGTAGTCTGTTCTCATGCTGTCAGCTTTCAGGTTCTATAGACAGAAACCTTCCCAATCATTCTTCATAGAAGGGTTTTGTTTGTTTAAAAACATTTTTCATTGCTTTTATACTTTAAAGTGCCTTGCTTCTCATCAGCAACTAACCTCATCTTCTTTCCCATTAAAATACGTGGCCATATCATGATTCACAAACTCCTTGTGACATCAGTAAACTGTGTGTGGAAATCCATGATATAGTGCAAGCAGGATAAACTTTTGATCAAATTGGTCCTTCTATCATTTAGACTATTTATGAGCTTAATTACCTCACTTTCAAATACCAAAAAAGTGGAGGACATTATTAGAATATATAGTAATACTTGTGTATGTTAATACTACTTGAGGAATGTGTGCTTAGACTTTAACATAAATTGCCCAGCAAGGGTTTGGAGGCCTGTAAGCATCCAAGGCCAGGCTGGATGAGACTTTGAGCAATCTGGTCTAGTGGGAAGTGTCCCTGCCTATAGCAGTTGAAACCCCTTAAAGGTCCATTCCAACCCAAACCATTTGTAGAATACATAGCCAGATTTCTTTTTTTACATGTGTAAGTGATTCTAGCACTGTCTCAAAGCGCTATAGTCCTAAGAACAGAAAAGGAGGTAATCTGAATCGAAGAATGTTATGTTGATCTGTAGCAGCTGCTTTTGAAGCTGTGCTACCTTTCGTTATTTCAACCTTGACAATTTTGAAAATTGCCCTGAAAAAAAAAAAAAAAAAGTATTATTTCAGGAAAAGTTAGTTGTTACAGCTTTTTAATATGTTTTGCTGAGGGTGTAATGCAGAATGCAGGTGATTTGTTTTTTTCTTTTGTTGTGTCGTTTTGTTTTGTTTTGTTGGGGTGTTGTATTTTTTTTTTGTCAGAATCAATTTTTCTTATTTATCTTAGTAGTTCTGAATTAAGGGATTGCTCTTTTTTGAGGGTAATGAGTTATGCTAGAAAGTCGAGTTAGTTAATTTTTAGCAGTATTATCTTTATTGTCATCTGACAATTTGGAGGTGAAGCACATCATTTTTTAGAATGCCTAACCACACATGCGCATCAAATAAGGGGCCTTAATTATAGGTTATAGTGGTACTGGAGTAGTAGGTACTGGTAGTTGTATGCTAAGAGAAAGTTCTTGGATCTCAGGGGGAAGTTCTTCACAGAGAGGGTGGTGAGGTGCTGGAACAGCTGCCCAGAGAGGCTGTGGATGCCCCGTCCATCCCTGGAGGTGTTCAAGGCCAGGCTGGATGGGGCCCTGGGCAGCCTGGTCTAGAGCCAGATCTGGAAGTTGGTGGCCCTGTCTGCGACAGGGGGTTGGAACTTGATGATCCTTGGGGTCCCTTCCAAGCCAAGCCATTCTATGATTGTATGGAGCTGAAGGCATCAACACGATCTAAACCCCAAGCACAGAAATGACACACTCTTTCTAACTGTATCAGCTTGAAAAAAGATGGCGGTCCCAAGGACAGCACAGTAATTCTTCTCTGTGTAAAATGTTATGATTAAATTTTCAGCAACGATACTTAATCAATGTAGCTTTCTTTCTTTCCCAGTTTGAAAGACTAAATCTTGCACTTCAGAGAACGTTAGCAAAGCACAGGATAAAAGAAACCAGGTACGTATGTGTAATAGACTTGCAACTAAACCGTGCAGTAAAAATGTTTTGCAGAGTTCATAATGGCTGGAGTGCTGGCTGGGGATCAGGACTTCTGGAATCTGTGTTCTCTTACCTTGTTAAATTGGTGCATGACATTTCATGCAATCTAAGTTGGCTTAATGGGCAAATTTAGCCATTTGTGCAGGGAAACATTGCTTAAAATAAGCAATGATGTTCTGGGGGAACTCAGGGAGCACTCAGACATAGATGGGAAAGATGGATATAGTTGTCTTATTTCACAATTGTATGGCCTTCTTATAATAAATAAACCTCTGGTATTTCTAAGAGTCTGGGAAAAGAATTTTAAATTCAAATAATTATACAAAAAATAAATTGTTTTCTAGTATGCTTGCATTCTTAATAGCTGGTCAGAAGTGTATTATAATTGCTGACTGGAATACTTTCTCTGTCTTAATTATGTATTGAAATATAGAGAATTAGTTTGAAGCAAAAAAAGTAGTATGCTATCCTAATCAGTGTACTAAGGCAAATCTAAAACAAATCTAAAGACCTATGTTGCTTTTGCATGTTTTGCATATTTAAGTTATTTCAAGTAAGGAAATTCAGATAATCTGTATCAAAGGCTCGCAGCTTGTGCGAAGATTGATCTAAGCTGCATCTCATCACCTTGTGTCTGACATTCAGGTTGATATTTATCAACCTCAGAACTCATAGGGTTGCTGTTTTGTAACACAGAAATCAGGATTTCTACCAATTGACAAGTAATTTTAGAGTTGATGGGTGTTTCCTATCAAAAACAAATGCTTTATTACCTTTCTTTAACTTAATGTAATTCGAAGAAATGCTTGAATGTATACTCAAATTATACTATATATTTGTATGTATATTATGTATATAATATTTATTATTTGTGAATATGAATACACTTACAAGTAGCAAAATACTAGTGAAGCAAAAGATAGGGTTGTTGCAATGTAAGAGGCTGTAATCAATGACACACTGCAGCATTTGGCCTCAATCCATAGTCTGAGTTCAGACAACTAAAACTTAAATTTATCACAAATGCACAGGATAATCTAAGATCCTACTAAGGCCCATTTTGAATGAGAAGAAAAAAAAACACAACAAAACCTCCCTATTTGACTGGCAGAACTTAATCTTTACAGAGTAAATATGGAGTAAATATTATTGCATACTATTTCTATCCTATTTATCCTGATTTTTCAGGAGTTTTATTTCTTTTTTTTATGATCTTTGCAGAAAAACTGGCGATAGAGAAGATTTTGAAAAAATAATCAGTGATCATGCTATTGCAGCAGGTAATGCATTCTTGTTTAATAATACATCTATATTACATGTACAAATATATTACATGTGCAAATATTTATGTAAAATGATATATGTATAAAATAATATATACATATATAAATTGGGCTTGTTAAATCATTTCCTCCTCGTGATGGCTGAAGTAATGCCAACATCACATGAAATAAACTGTTTCTGGGCAACCTACAGCCCAGAGCGTCAAAATTTATCAAGTCTGTGCTGACCCCCAACATCCAACACCTAGAGAGAGTTGTAAAGTGTTGTTAGTAACATCTTATGGTGTAAAAATGTTGAGAAAATGTTCGATTCTTTACATCCTCTGAAGGATTCTACTCTCTGGGATGAGAACTGCTTTAATTTGGAATATGGGAGCAGGCTACATCTCTAGCAGCCAGTACTTATTGAAGTTAGTAAATTAACATTTCCAGGAAGTGAAGCATCGTCCTCTGTAACCTCAAGCAGTAAAGCTGATCATGTAGCAGATTTTCCCCTTTTCAAAAGGATTCCTAGTAACAGCTGTGCAGCAATTCCAGCAACGTTCCCAGCAATCAGTTTGCATACAGTTACCGTGAAGATGAGCTGTTCTGTGCTGACTGGTTGCAGAGCCCTGGAATGTTCCTAGAGGCATTTGAATGATTGGATTTGGCATAGCATGTATATCTGCACAGATCTGATTTTATTCTTACTTTTTTATTATTATTATTTCTATGGGTTTCAGTCATGTGCCAAAATAGGCATTCATTTTGTCTACGCTCCTACCACAGCACAATGGATCGTTCCAGACTACAGCCCATCTCTGCATGTCTTTCAGGCACCAGATAGAACAACCTTAGTCGGTCACAGCAGGACTCGTAAGTGAGAAGGCCCTCAGTTGTCTGTGCTGGATCAGCGAAGGATATTGCTGATTTCATTAGGTTTAGGACAAAAAAAATTAGAGGCTAGCCTGAGATTGCATGACGAGTGTAGTTCTGATTTACATGTAATTCCATGCAGGTGTTCCTGTGGAGTCTCTACGAGAATCTCTTGGTGAAGAGCTGTTCAAAATATGCTATGAAGAGGATGAACACATACTGGGGGTTATTGGAGGAACCCTTAAGGACTTCTTGAACAGTTTCACTACTCTGCTGAAGCAAAGTAGCCACAGTCAGGAAGCAGGGAAAAAGGACAGACTTGAAGAAGTTTCCATATTATGCCTGGAGAAAGATCAGGACTTCTTAAACGTGTATTATTTCTTTCCCAAGAAAATCACAAGTCTTATTCTGTCTGGCATTATTAAAGCAGCGGCTCATATTTTGTATGAAACTGAGGTGGAAGTCATGCTCATGCCTCCTTGTTTCCATAATGACTGCACTGAGTTTGTTAATCAGCCCTATTTGCTGTACTCTATACAAGTCAAAAGTGCAAAGCCTTCTTTATCTCCATGTAAACCGCAGTCTTCACTTGTGATTCCTGCCTCTGTGTTCTGTAAGATCTTCCCGTTCCATTTTATGTTTGACAAGGATATGTCTGTTCTACAAGTTGGAAATGGGATAAGAAGGCTTTTGACCAGAAGAGAATTTCAAGCTAAGCCCAATTTTGAAGAATATTTTGAAATTCTTACCCCTAAAATAAGCTGCACATTTAGTGGAATAATGACAATGTTAAATATGCAGTTTACTGTACGAGTGAGAAGATGGGATAATACTGATCTGAAGTCATCTATGGTAAGAGTCTTTGTATAATCTTCAGAGATGAATTTGTTTTCCTCTTTGGAGACATGCAATATAGATAGAGTTAAAATAGCCATAAAATAAATAATGTTGTGTTTTACATCACTTGTCTTTCAACCTCTAATACAACTTAATAATGATGGTCTATTATGAGGACAATGTAAGGTAATTCAGAATTTGAAACCAACATTGACTGAAAATTCTCTTGAACCACTACACATATGAAATTTGACTGTTAGCTTGATTTTGAAGGAGTCATTGGAAATACAGAGAGAAACTGATAAATTGAGCTAAAGCCAGTGGCATGCCATGTTGCTGAGAGTAAGAGCATCACCAACACAAAAAATGGAGCAGGGAGAGTTTTACCATAGCGTACTTGAATTAGATGCAAACAGCAGCTTTTGAATTTGGGGAAGGGAGTTTCTTGTGTTAATTCAGTCTTTGTTATCTTTTGTACTTTGCATCTTTTATATTCATATACCTTTACTGGTGCAATTGCTACCACAAAAAAAAAGGTGATTCAAAGCAACATTAAGGAGACCTCCTCAGCACCTTCCACGTTGCAGGAGCGAACAGGGGAAGAACACAGAAACAGCATTACACACAAAGAATATTGATTTTTTAGATCATGAAAATGAGTTATTTCTGGCATTTCGGCATTTCAATTTTGAGTCTCAGTGCGTACTTTAATAAAACTTTAATAAAAATGAAGCCCATTTTCTCACTTCATCTTATAGAAGAAGTTGTGCATGACTCGAACAGTATAGTTCTTATCAGAAATCTATTGGCCACTCAAATCAGTAGCAATTTATTGGTAGGTAAAAAATGCACAAAATTCTTCTTTTGATTTTTGTTTGATCCCTAAGATAAAATTGATGCTTAGCAATACCACATTAGTGTTCTGTCCTTAAGCTGTTTTACCTTTTGCACCAGAAGCCTAAGGTAAAATAAACTGAACTTATTATTTACCTCTGCAATTTAGTATTCCATGTTGTATCTTCAACAAATAGAAGAAAATGTGAGAACTGTGGATCAGTTCAATTCTCCTATGGTTCAGCAAAATGTGTTTCTTGTTTCTAAATACTTGCCTTGCATGGTGTGCATGAATCCTTCTTTCTTTAATCTTCTGTTTCAGGTAATGGATCTCAAAGGCCAAATGATCTATATTCTTGAATCCAGTGCAATCCTATTCTTGGGATCTCCATGTGTGGACAGGCTAGAAGATTTTACAGGACGTGGATTATATCTTTCAGATATTCCTATTCACAATGCGCTGAGAGATGTTGTTCTGATCGGAGAGCAAGCCAGAGCTCAGGATGGACTGAAGAAGAGGTTAGGAAAGCTGAAAGCAACCCTTGAACAGGCCCATCAAGCACTTGAAGAGGAAAAGAAGAAGACTGTAGATCTTCTGTTTTCTATTTTTCCTGGAGAAGTTGCTCAGCAGCTGTGGCAAGGACAAGTGGTGCAAGCCAAGAAGTTTAGTAATGTCACAATGCTTTTCTCTGACATTGTCGGATTCACTGCCATCTGTTCCCAGTGCTCACCTATGCAGGTTATAACCATGCTTAATGAGCTTTATACTCGCTTTGATTACCAGTGTGGAGAGTTAGATGTCTACAAGGTACAACATTTTTTGCTTGTATGTGGGGCTATGTGGCAGAAAAAGAAATAAAGACAAAACAGGACAGAGAATAATACAAGTCCAAAAATATTTTGCCTAAAACCTTCGTTATAAGAAAAAAATATTAAGATAAATCATAAAACAAAAACAAAAACAGAAGTTTATCAACAGAGTGGGCAATATATGCAGCCAAACAAGAAACGCATTAAAACCTAAGAGGTCATTTCTAAAATGGATTTCAGTTGCAGTGCTATGAATCTGGGGTAAATCAATGTGTTTAAGGTAACTACAGGTGTCTGACAGTAGGAGAGCAAGGAAAAGTATTCTAGTGTCGTGCCCAACAGTAAATACTAGTTGTGCACTTTTGCCTTTTAAAGGATACCACAGGATTTATTCAAGACTTAAATGATTTAGCAGGACAAATAGGACTCAGTCAATTTAGAGGTAGCATATTGAAGCCACAGACTATTCTTTTATACAACTATTGTAATATTAAGGAACAAATGTACCTGTTTTAGGTTGAGACTATTGGAGATGCCTACTGTGTTGCTGGAGGTTTACACAAAGAAAGTGAAACCCATGCTGTCCAAATAGCATTGATGGCCCTGAAGATGATGGAGCTGTCAGATGAGGTGGTGTCTCCCCATGGAGAGCCTATCAAGGTCATATATTTTATTTTATAATATTTTTTATGGTAAAAAGGGAAAATTTTGATGGCCTAGTTGGTCTGGGGGTATTTATTTCAAGGAAAATTTGCATTAACTCAGACAGGTTGGGGAATCAAATGTGTGTAGGTGGAGAGGCTGACTATTTTATTTCTATGAATATGAATGTTGTGGAGAAATAAAGATGAAGCAGAGGTCTTAAAATCAACCCAGTTCCTGCTAAATTAATGGGTGCACATTGATGTGCTGCTGTTTTTGTCTGCCTAGCAATCAGTTTTATTGTTTTCTAATTAGGGTACTAATCCTCCTTCAAAATAAGAACCTAGGAGAACATGGAAGTATTGTCAGGCAAGAGTGACCAGCATGAATCATCAGAGACGTGCTGTGACTGCAGTAATCCACACGTCTTTGTGATTCTGTTGCTGGTCACCATAAGAATGGTGCTACTGCTGGCAAGGCCACTGTCAGATTCAGTGGTAGTCACATTTGTGACCTCCTTTCAGTGGAGACACAAGAGTGTACTGAACTTTCCACCTGGAATACGGTCTTGTTATTTTTAATACAGATGTCTTGATTAATTATGTCTTGCACTTGCTTATTTTTAATATTTGCCCCTTTAGAAAAGGAGCTTCAGGCTTCTTTGATTATGGTTTAAGGAATATTTGTGTTCTAAGACCAAGAAAATGTTTTTTACAAGGATTACAGGCTCCACATTTATCACAGAGAACAGCAGTATTAAGAATGGTGGAAATAAAGACCATTATATTTGTATTTCACAATATCAAATTAAATTATGCCTGAAAATACGGAAACATATATATGACAATATTAAGTGTTTATAATTTCCATGCAAATGCTACTTGTGTAGCTCTGAATGATGAATGTTATTACATTCTGAAAGTAATTTTACAGTAGGGAGAAAGAATAAATTCTAGAAGCTTCTTAGAGGAAAACTTAACAAAACTCAAAATTCAGACTATGAATTGCAAAGAGGGGGTATCGAAACGTTTCTACTGCTGAAGAGCATGTACATAATTTCTTCACTGTTCCCTAGGACTTGTCTTCTGACCTTAACAGCAAAGCAATTACAATTTGAATTTAGTAACTTTCATCAGTCTAACACTGTGCCATGCAGTTCCTCCTAGGAAAATATTTAAGTGTCATAGTAACTCCTGATGGTGTTTTTAGATGAATATACTGCCAGAAAGACCAACTTTATCTCAGTCATGTCAGATGAAGAGTGATTTACTATGCAAAGCAAGATATATTTGGGCTACTTTCCAATTTACAAGCAGTAATGACCAGAGTACAGACGTATTCAGTAGGCTGTACTAACTCAGTTTATATTAACAACTCAATTTTATTTTTTAATTAAGAAAGAATTTTTAAAACTTCAACCATTTTATTTGCCTTACCTAATCATGACATTTTCTGCCTTTTATTTAAAGATGCGTATTGGCCTTCATTCTGGATCTGTTTTTGCTGGAGTTGTTGGAGTTAAAATGCCTCGTTATTGCCTCTTTGGAAATAATGTAACCCTTGCCAACAAGTTTGAATCTTGCAGTGTACCTCGAAAAATAAATGTCAGCCCAACAACTTACAGGTATGGTGCTTTACAGTGTACATCAGTAAAATTTCCACTTGAAATAGTTAATGTAAAAGTTTGTTATCTTGTTATTTTTTCCCTGTTTTCTTTTTACTCTGTTTTCTTTTTACTCTTTTTATCTGACTGCTCATGATTGCACAATAGCTATTTTTATTCAGAATGCAATCAGAAGCAGCAACAGAGTGAAATGGAACGGCTGATATTTATTTTTCAGATGCTACGATTAAAATAAGTGGAGGACTTGGGGCAAATTTGCTTCTTGCCCTGAAGCTATGTACCTCTTGCCTTTTTTTGCCTCTCGTAAAACTGGTTTATCTTTGAGGGAGGTGGCTTTCACTGTAAACTGGATGATGTGCAAAAATCAAACTCTAACCACAGAGTTATAAAGCAGGTGTGTTTTATCAGCGCTGCGCACACGCCAGATGCAGGTGGGTAATCCCTCCAAGCCTGCAAACCAGAGGGCAAGAAAAGCACATACTTAAAGAACAAGCTGCTTAAGTATGCATTAGGTTTCCAAGAAAAGGTTGGGTGATTACGAGTCCCCAAAATGATTGATATTTCTCCCCGCCCCAAGTCTCAGTTCTTTTGTGCACGCGTGGTATCTCTCAACGTTCCTCTGGTGGTCTTTTGATGAAGGCTGTGTCTTCTTTGACCCGGGTCAAGTTGGAGGACGTTTGACTCGCTCTGCTTGGTCATCTTATCGGCTACAACTCTGTCCACCAATCCACTGCTTCTCCGTTAATTTGTGGTTTCCCTGGCTGAGCCTGCTACCTTGCATTCCAGAGATAGGATAGCAAGCAATGTTGTTTGGAGAAACAGGAGGCCCGCTGTCTGTACCAACTGTCTAAGCCTGTAGAAAAGCATCTGGTATCGGGGGCCAAACCTGTCTAATCAAGGTCAGATCTGTAGCTGCTGATTCAGCAGCACCCCATGAAGGCACCTAACCTAAATTATTTTCCTTAATTCCTGGATGCCAAGCTTATGCAGATGCACTTGAAAATAACATCCTAATCAAACAGTTGTTAAGCATCACTGTACACATCCCCATTCTCTTTCGATTAGGGAAGATGAATGAATAGGTTGCAGTGAATCAACCATGATAGTGTTTATTTTATGCATGTCTTGATCCCAGCTCAGTTTGAACCTCGTAGTGTGGAACCCAGGCTGCACTATTTATGATTCACTCAGATCATTTTTAGTAAAGGATATCTGGTTTTGTGCAGATAGTTAGCAGGCTCTCCCATGGGAAATATATTTCCCTTGTCCTCTTAGCCCAACACTCCCTTTGTATTATATCTTCAGTTATACTTAAAATTACCTTGCCAATATGTCCATGGCCAAGTCATAGTCTTTTATGTTCCAGACAAAGCATTAAAAACCTTTTTTAAATTTGGTGGTAGCAACTGTCGGCGCTCCAGGTAAAGATCTGAATTTTATGCCACGAAACTCATACAGTTTTATTGTTTCTTCCAGAATAGCAAAAAGTTTTAAATATGAACTACAGAGAGTGAATTCACTAGTAGGAAATCATAGTGCTGGATGAGTAAAATAACCAGAAATACGGATATAAGTGATTTTTTTCATTTTAATAAAGATTTGAGAGACTGCAATACCATTTTTTTGGGGTGCAGAAACAGGAGTAATTGAAATAATCTGCTACATTCAGAACTGTAGCCTAGACAGCTGGCTGTACTCAGCTTCTGCTTGGTGCTGTGTTTCTGATGTTGTGTCAGGACTGTGTGGCCAGTTGTCAGAGAAGTTGGAATCCCCTGCAGCAATACTGTGTGACTTAGAGGGTGCAAAGCTAAAGATTATCTTCTGCAGGTGAAAGCAGATGTATTAGAGCACACGTAAGTAACTTGGGTTTGGATCATGCAGTCTAAACAGAGACGTAGCATCATCATCTCCAGTGTTTAGCTGAGTCAGAAGAACTGTGGTGGCCAATAATGACTTTTTCCACGTCCTCACGGCAAATCGTTCTGAATCAGGTTGGCCACGGTCTTTTCTTAAAATCATTATGCAGTTCTTTCATACAAAACTTGTTTATATTCTGAGGCGTAAGTGGCTCCCTGTTTGTCTGCTTGTTCATCTCAAGACAATATCTCAAATAAGTCAGCTGTCGAAAGGAAAAAAGCCAAACTCACACCGTAATTATTTGGATGCCTAGAAAACAGGCAATGGAGTTGAAGGGTAAACTATAGTTATTATTGCCACCGAATGCTTTTTCACCTGAGGGAATGATGCAAAAACAGTCTTTGTGTTTAATGTTTTTACATTAAAATCCATTTACATGGATTTATATACAGAGCATGGCATCTTGCACAACTCCCATCTGTAGCAATATTTATTTGGAACCTTAGGTACCAGTCATCAATATTTATCCATGAAGAACAGCCATCTGTGTTTCAGATATTGAAGACCATTAGGTTTTGTGGAAAAAATTCCTAGAGTTGGCAGGAGGATCTGAATAGCTTAGTTAATAACCTTGTCAGTATTCCATTAGTTGTAACGTTAATTGTGGTGCCGTTTTCATGTGCTAATTTGAATTAGCTCTCACTTTTGAACTAGCTACATTGGCTTTGCAAGAACTTGCAACAAATACAGCACCTATATTCAAAACAGTGACAAGACAAAAAAGAGAGGCAATATTCCTGTTTGTACTGGTGCCTGACTTAATGAGTTATCAAGATTACCAAGTAAATAGTTGTTTTAAACTTTTCAGTAAAAAACATAAATATTAAAGTAAATTTTGACCTGTTTTATAAAGAATTCATGAGGAATTATTTAGTGTATGTAGTAACAATTAGTGATTGATTCCCTCTTAACCAAGGCAATTCATTTTTTGTTACAGATTATTAAAGGAGTATCCAGGTTTTGTATTTACGCCACGCTCAAGAGAAGAACTTCCTCCAAATTTTCCCAGTGATATCCCTGGAATTTGCTATTTTCTGGATGCTTATATTCAAGGAACAAGCTCACAGACTTGGTTTCAAAAGGAAGATCTGGGAGATGGCAATGCCAATTTTTTGGGTGAGGAAACGGGAATAGACTAAATCATCTACTACATTCACAAGCATATAGAATAAATGTATAAATATTCTGTTGGTTTTTTTTGTATAAATTGAAAATTTTAAAAAATATATGAAACATGAAAGCACTTTAGATTGAGAACACCTGAAAGCCAGTATTAAAATTTCAGGAAGTATGTAACTGACTCCTTTATGTTTTTCCTTTGTATAAGGAATGTAGTCACTAAAATAATATTGCAACTTCACTGTTTAAAATGCCACTAAAAAGTACATGTTCCCTGTGATAATTTGTGAGTGCTACCTAACAACCCTCTCAGTTCTTTCTGCACTGAGAATTCTAGGTGTATTGTATGTGCAGCGTGCCAGGAAGTGTAATGTGCAAGTGATGCAGACAAATGCAGTGTTGTGAGCTGGTGCTTATCAGTGACCGTTAAAAGTTTATTTTATTAGTGATTCCATAAGAAAAATGGTCTTAAAAATATCATCACTGCTACCACATACTCCTTCAAGAACATCCTTTGGGCTCTATCCGTACAGCTGCTGACCGTCTTCTAATACTTGCTGAAGTCAGTGTGTTGAGTGTGCTCAGCATCTTCTGGATAGGGCTGCTAATTGTAGCTAACACACATATACATACAAGAGTTTCCTGCTTACTGTTTCCTGAACTCTCTTCTGTGTATAAAATGAATATAGGTTCTGTATAATCACTGTATAATCACGTCCTACAGTTTCTGTAATCATCAAACAGTATTTTAGTTCTCGGGGTTTTTAAAACACTTTATAAAAATAATATCAACTTGCTATGATGTATTAGAGCAATAAATGTTTTTCTTTGTTGTTGTTGTCATTTGAATTTGAAATATTTTAAAAAGAGTGTAATAAAATGTGCTTTGGAGCGTTTACTTAGATAAGAAATTCCTATCAGAGCGTATAGCGTGGAACAAAAGTGCACTGGTTTAAAGCCATGATCTTTATTCAAGGACAGCAAGGTGGACACAACTTGTTATGTCGAACACTTTAAAGATGTAAGGAGGACCTACAGAATTATCTCCAGAATTCTTGAAGGACTCTCAAGGGTCTGCCTCTGGAAAAGGGCAAAATACAGTTACAAAGCTTAGCATTCTGCCTCTAACTAGCAGATTCATCTGCACAGAAATTTCTCTGTGCTGTACAGTTTGGTCCCAGCTGCAGGCTGGAGAGCTGCATTGCTTACACACACAAATATTTCCAGTAGTATCAAATAATACTTGTTATTATTCTGACCTCTTATACTCTTGGGTTTTGGCATATTAAACCATGAGTGACTTTTTTTCAACGTACCTCTCAGATTTTGCTCTCTGAGTATTTACAGGGAGCGATTCAATTAGACTGTTCATTTTCTGAGTCTGAGTGCTTCATTCTGAAGATGCTGTTCTAATCCCACTGTTTTGCAGGAACGTATACAGAGCATATCAGAAACCTGAGAAGCTGTAAGTGCCTAGTGTTACAAACATTTTAAAAGCACATTTTAACTCCTGCAAGCTTCATCTGAACAAAACTTGAAACATTCCATCCTGCTGTTTCTTGAGATGTCCTACATCTATCTAAGATGCTTATAAATAACTCTAACACTCAAAAATAAACCAACCCTGAAAGACTACATGTATGTGATAAATATATATATATATCCACATACATATTTGTTAAATTTTAACAGCAGCATTTCAAGAAAACAAGATGTCTGCAAATCTGATCACTGCAATATTATTTTCTTAGGAAAATTCTATTTACATGAATACCCAGAGACTGGTAGCAGTCCCATATGGGTGTTCCTGGAATGAAAAATGTGGAAGAATTGTACTATTGACTGATAGGGTTCTAAACAAAAATAATTTCTTATTTACAAATGGATAGAAGAACTAGGAGCAAATTTCCTTTTGTCCCACGGGGAGAACTGTTGCTGGACTGGAGGACGGCCATTCTGTAGGCAGATTCCATATAAATATGTTGTTCTGAAGGATGTTCATCTTGGCTGTTTCTGACCTCTTCCTATGCATAGCTCTGTAAAACACAGTGTCCCCTAGACGGAAGGGGAGATCAACTACAGATCTAATTCACCTTCCTATGTCACTTTTTGCAACTCTCTTTTTAAATATACCCCTGGCTACATTATCAGCTAGGATAAAATTGCTGTGAAATTCCTATTTGTTTCTCGAACGTTTATGAAAAAGGCAGCACATTGTCATGCCTATTTCAGCCTTAGTTCCCAGAAGTGTCCTGATAAGATGCTTAAGGATACATATTAACCTGTATGAATCATAGAGGCTAAGCGTGGAAAAGACTTCTGAGATCATCGAATCCATCACTACCATAGCCACTAAAACATGCCCCTAAGTGCTACGGGTTTCTCGTGCTTCAATCTCAGTGAGACAAATATAATTTAGGGAGGTTTTTTTAGGAAATGATTTGGGAAGGTATTTTACAACGTGCTTATGTCCATATCTGCTCTAAAGAAAAGCCGACAAATCTACATAATGATACTGATATGTGAATCTTTTAGTATTCACTCTAGAAACAGTTCTGTTATTACATGAACTCTTTTACTAGCTCATCAGCTGAGGAGCCTAGTCCTGTTCACATTTACATTGTGTGATTATATTGTAATTTCTTAGGCAAGAAGCTGTAAATGGCTCATGGAATAAACGAGAATTGGGTCCTCTGAATTTAACTGTGATATAGCTAAAGTAAAAGATACATGGAGAAAAAAAAAAAAAAAACCATCATGAATTTTATTTCATTCTGGCAAGCCCTGATATGGTTTCAGAGAATTTTGTTCCTAATTGCTGGTGTCAGAGGAAGTGCAATTAGTGTGGAGTGGTGTTTTCTTCCTCCCTGAACTACTGTGCAAAAACAAACCATGCGAACTCACAGAAAGTGACAAAACATCGACGTGCACAGAGCACTGAGCCTGAGGCCAGATCTACTTTCCTGTAAAATCCTGTAACAGAAAAATTCAGACCTCCTCAAATACAGTTCACTTCTCCCATTGCTTTGTTTTGCATTCTCTGCAGAAACAGGAACAAGTACAGAGGCAAAATCAGTATTTCCAGCTGAAAGCCATCAGAATTAAGGGAAATTTCTCTTGAATCTTGGCAAGGGGACCCACTTTCAAACCCCACCCATCCTATAAACTAGCAGCTACTGTAACTGCTGCCATTTTTTTTTGTCTGTTCATTGTTCTGCAAAAGCAGTGAAAGGGGAGTTTTGGCTTCCTGGAACAGCAGTAATTTTTGTGGCTATTTGCCATATAACAAAGAAGGACTATGTTGCTTTCAAAGCTGTGCTTCAGTTTATCAGAAGTCAGCTTGGCATGAACTAAAATGAACTTTGAAGCTTTTTCTGAAATAAAAGCTTGGATTTTACACATATGGGATCTGCAAGATGTGGGCCACAAAACGCTTTAGAGGCCTTTGACACCATTAAATAAAAATCTGGTGAATTGGGTATAAGACCCGATTATTTGGCAGCCCTTTTCTGTCACTCAGCAGCAACTGATACTGAAGCACAAGTAGAAGATGGGGGATACCCCGTGGTTCTGGAACCTTTTGTACACCTAGATTCAACAGTTTAAAGTAAAAATAATTAGCATTGCTGAAGGAATCTTCAAAAAAAAAAAAAAAAAGGATTCATATTTCTGCACGACGCAAGTACATTATGAAAATCCCAAATGTAAATTCTCAGATCATTATGATTTGAAACAGATAAAGGGAATACACCATAATTCAGCTTGTTGTGAAGTAATTCAGTGAAGTAAGGCCATTTCACTAGCTGAAATCCAGCAATACTATATAAAGGGTTTTCTAATTGAGATTTACAGTAACATATAAACTTTAAGAACAAAATCTGAATTAAAAAATGCAACTTATTAAAACGCTGTGGCTTATGGTGGATGTATATTAACACAAACTACATTGAACTGAGCGTAAAAGTTCAGGTCCAGCTAGTGGCTCTCCCAAAGCTATTGTCTCAGCAACCATCCTTTCATACAGAATAAAAGGATCCTACGTTACTTTTTACTTTCCTGGATCTCAACAATTCCCAGATGAAGTCAGGGTGTCACATCAGTTGAAAAGGTGCAGCAGTTTTTCTCCTGCAGTCACAGGCTGCATCTCTTCTGGCTTTCTAGTGGCCAACACACAAAACTCATGCGAAATATGCGAGGCTTCAAAGGGGACACAAAGAGGAGAAGCTGCCTTCTGGGATTTGTGTGGAGAGCTCTTTCTAGAAGGCTTCTCATGCCAGCATTCCATTGCACACACAGGTGTGGCTGGTACCACAGCCACAGCAGCTCTTGAATACAAAAAATAGCTGGGCAGCAAGTCACAGAGTGCACAAGGTCCCCAAATAGGAATGAGGCTGCATGCTACGGTACATGAATGGCAACCTTTAGGCACGCGCATCTTGCACAGCCCAAATATAAGTTGTTTGATAAGTGTAACACGTGTGTCCTAATGCCTAGCAACTGGATTTTGAAGACGCAGCCCAGTGTTAACTTGTCCAACATGTAGTGCATCCGTTGGCTTAAAGCCTGTCATCCCCCAGGTGAAACCAAACGCTGCCTGAAGACTCAGCACGTAGCCCTGACTCGGCAGGCACCTGGAATGGAAAACGACCCTACTCAGCAAATCACTTGATTAAATTTTTTAATTCAACACCTTCCGAACTTTTAAAAACGGACTGCTGTTTTAGACAATGAAATTCATCACAGTCGGGAAAAAAAAAAAGGAAAAAAAAAAAAAGAGAAGGATGCATATTTCGCAGGCACCGCGCTAGCAGCAGTCAGGCAGCGCTCCGCTCACACAAGCCTTCCCTGTCAGGGATGGCGGCAGGGCGGCCGTCAGCCGGAGGCGACCGTCAGCGCGGAGCGGCCGCCGCTTAACTCGCAGTGACGGGGAATGCCGACCCTCGGCCCCCGGCCCCCGCCCCGCCGCCGCGTCCCGCCTCTGCCTCCGATTGGAGGACAGCACGGCGGCCGCGCTCGTCATTGGCCACTAGCTTGACGGCCGCGCTCCCCATTGGCTGTCGGCGGGTGCCAGTCGGGCCCGCTGCAGGGGAGGCGGCGAGGCGGTCAGGACCCCTCTTCTGCTCGGCGGCTGCGGCGGCATCATGGTGAGCTGTGCGGGTCGTCTTCTCGCCCGGGAGCCGGGCGCCGGCAGAGGGTGGCCGGGCCGGGCCTGGCCTGGCTCGTGGCGGGGAGAGGCTGGAGCAGATGTGGGGGTTGAAGCGGGAGGGCGGCCGGGCCCCGGGCGGTTTGGGTTCGGGGCGGGGGTGGCGAGGCGGAGGGCCGTCCGCTCCGTGGCGAGGGGCGCTGGGCTCCGGGGCCGGGGTCTGGGTCTGGGTCTGGGTCTGGGCTCCGTCCGGTGTCTGACCGCCACGCCGCCTCGCCCTGCCCGCAGTACGGCTTCGTCAATCACGCCCTGGAGCTGCTCGTCATCCGGAACTACGGGCCCGCGGTCTGGGAGGACATCAAGTAAGTCTGCCTGTTTGCTTGCCTGCCTTCTGTGGGACCTGCTTTCTTGGTCCAACCCGTGAGGAATGGCGATGAATGTCCTCGTTTTTAACTAATGATAAATCATGAGACTGGGATTTCCTGCATCTTCGTGCTGAGACTGTTGCTTGTGCTGCTCGTTTAGTGGCCGTGAATACAGCAGCACTGATACATAGCCATGAGTATAAGATATATTTTAAAAAGACAGATGCTTACATTAATGCAGTAAGGCTTCAGTTTGCTGCATAGTTAGGCTAAGCAGCTTAACGTGGTCTTTTGATATTGCATGTTTTAAGGGAGGAGCTAATTACCTAACTTGGAGAAGGCAGCCTTCTTTCAGTTGGACATCTTCTATACTGTTCTATCCAGTTTATTTTGGGCCAGTGTTAATAGTATGTCAGTGCAGCTGTCTTGTTGATCTGACACAATTTTTAGGTGCCCTCAAGTGGGAGGGTTTCGTGACCATAATGGTTGGCTTTTCTTCACGAGTCCATTCATTGAAATGGATTAATCTTATCAGAGCATGACAAAACGTTGGATGGAAGGGGCCTTTGGAGGTTGTCCAGCCCACGCTCTGTTCCAGCTAACACTGTTTAACACTGTTACCTGTATCAGGATTTAGCTGCCTTTTGATTTTTTTTTCAAGCTATGTCTTTGAAATCATCAGAGATGGAGCACCCCCAGTTCTGGTTCAGCAGGTAGCCACCGTTCCGTCCCAGGGATCCAAGGCTGTTAATCTATAAACTATACTTTGTAGTTCTGTGGACTGCACGGATGTCTTCGCACGTCCTACTTCTCATTTTTGCACATACGTACTGCAGTACTGATGATCACCTAGAGCCTACGGTCAGCACTACTCATGTAATGTTTTGGAAGAATGTAATGACAAGGTATAAAACGTTTGAATGTCAGTTGTGTAAGTTCAGAAAGCTGATGGGTCATGCTGCTGTCTTTCAGCTGGGAAGCCTTGTCTTCTAGTGTTCAAGAGGCAGGTTCTGCTATTAACTCACAGAGAAGATGGCTTTCTGGAATGAACAGTATTGTAACAAGGCACAAACAGAGGAGTGGAAAATGATCTACGAGAAAGAGGCAGTGTTTACACAACAGCTGCCCCAGCTGCTTATGCAAAATATGTTTGCAACTGCTTTTGTATTCACTATGACTTGCTTTGAGCGTTAGTTTTTTGTGGAGTTTAGAAACCAGCAAGCAAACTCTCATTTATCCTACTGGAACAAATTATAATGGTTATGCTGTTATAAAAGATGGTATGGAGGTCCTCTTCTAGGCATTAAGTACCTGTTAGTTTAGGTGCCTTAAGTTGTTGTCAGCAGGGCATATGCATGTAGTCTGTCTTTTACAAAAGCACCCCTCTGTGTTTGTTTAAATACAGGATTTTCCCACAGGCTCTAAACTGACTCTGTGTTAGATGGTCAAACTGTAACACTTTCAAGTATATTGCCATGAATAGGAATGAAAACTTAAATATCATATTAAGAAACACATTAAAAGGCTTCATCGCAAGAGTATGAAATAAATCAGTATTTTTCCTGTGTAAATGATCTGGAAGATTGTTTTAGGGAAATGAAATGGGATGATCTCTCAACTGGAGTCTCCATCATTTTTCTGCTACTGTAGTAGAAATCCACACCAAACAAGTAGCCTGTGAGCACAGAATAACTCAGCAGAAGCTGAAAGCTCAGTTTTTGCAGGCACAAAATGCTTGTAGGTAAAATAATTTTTTAAGCTGATTTTAGAAAGAAGCATCTGAATGGAAACTTGTACATTGGCAAAATGTGCCTGTGCTCTTTGCCTTAGTATGGGGTGTAGAAAACAAGAAATAATATTATTTTCCTGTTGTTCAGTGCTTAGTATGGAATCAAGGCATCCTCCTGCCTTCGCCCTTTTGTGGGTCAGCCTGGCGTAGTGCTGTCCACACGTGCTCTTAAATGTTAACACTCAAGTTCTGGGGAGCCAGCTGGGTAGTGAAGTGTTTACATGAGTTCAGTGAATGGCAGTGAGCACTGTGAAGAGCAGAAGGCAATCACTTGTCTTTTCAGGAAGGAATTTTTTGTTGTTGCCTTCAAAACCTTGTGCATTGTCAGCTACCAAGCATCTGGGCTTGTTCACTCATCAGAATTTGCTATAACTGTCCTGTTACAGTGGAACATGGGGAGCTGAGTAATTATCATGGTGTGTTTCTCGTGGTATAATGTAAGCAGAAATCTTCTCAAATTCAGCTGGGGTGGTAGAAAAACTGTTCAATTTAGGGTAGCCAAGCGACATAGCTGTCATTTTCCTTTGAACTGTACTGATGTGGTGGCATGTAAAGCTGTGTTTTGGCCACAGAACTGCTGAGTACCTTGAAAGAACGGTACCTGTCTCAAACTGGGCATCCAAAATTCACGAAACCTTTTGAATTAGTTTCAGCATTACATATAATTATTTTCTGCTCTGAGACAGTGCCATCCATTTAAAATAGAAATTATGTAAATGGCCTCACTAGCCAGTTGGAGAGCTAATTAATGCTCGTCCATTATTATGAGGATCCATTCCACAGAAAGGCTTGTTAGAGAGGAATAAATCCAAAGCTGGATTTTAAAACTATGTTTCATACCCAGGGTGAAGTTATATACTGACCAACCAATATTGACCAAAATAAGAAACTAAATAGTTGTATATTATCTAAGTGACACAGAATCTGTCCTCAAACTGAAAGAATCAGTTGCCTTGAGGGAGGGAAGCAGGCTGTGTGCTCTCAAAGGCAGGTTGTGTCCTGTAGCCTCAGTGAGAAGCAGGGAAATGTGGTGAGGATGAAACTTCATAGAATCATGGAGTGCCCTGGGTTGAAAAGGACCTCAAAATCAAATAATTTCAACCAACCAGCAGCCCAGGCTGCCCAGAGCCACATCCAGCCTGGCCTTGAATGCCTGCAGGGATGGGGCATCCACAGCCTCCTTGGGCAGCCTGTTCCAGTGCCTCACCACCCTCTGAGTGAGTTTCACATAGTGAAGCTATGAACCATACTTAGGTATCACGTATAGTTGAAGTGTTAGATAGTCCTTCCATTTATTTTTGGTGGTGTTTCTCAGCAAGGGTTGATTTGCAAGAGAAGCTTGCTGCTAAACTCCTTTTAGGCACCTTAACTGTAGATTTGGATGTGCCTGGGACTTAATGTTTGTTGTTTTGTCTTTTTAATGCCTTTGGGATTTTTCCATCTAGTTGCTTGGTTTCCTGTTCCTTTCTTATGCATTTCTCACCCAAGAACTGTGGAAGTCCAGGTACCTTTCAGCGGGTTATGGACTTTACCATGTAGACATACCTAACTATATTTCACAGTGCTGCCAATGGCTCCCTTGTGAATCTTCCCTCCTGTGTTGTTGAGCTGCTGTGAGCTTGCTTCACGTTCACCTTTCTCAGCCCACAATAAATTTATTGCAAAGAATTTTTGCTTTGCAGTTGAGCCAAAGTCACTGATTCTGTCATGCTCAAAGGTGTTACAGACATGCTACCTTTAGTGCCTTTTAGAAAATAAACTCTTCACTATGGTTTTATACGTGGAAGTCTATGTTTTTTCTGGGCTGTGTAGGACCCACTTATAATTAATTGCAGTGGTCTGTGAAAAGTTTTGAAAGCTTATTATTTCCTGCATCCGTAGCACTGTGCACCTCTATGCAGTGCTAAAGGTGGAGTGTTCCATTCAGTCCATCTCATAATTATTTAAAAGAATCCAACAGAGTGAGTATAAATAGAGGTCAGAAATGTGCTGTGGGAAGCCACTAGTATGGGAAGGACAATAGGTTAATTCTTTTCATCCGTTACACCTCTTAACAGTGTTTGTCCAGGAATCAGCTTTAAGTAGTAACATTTACTGTTTTTATATTCCTAAGTCTTTATTTCACAGCATTCCAAAGTTCTCAACAATTCTTATGAAGTCTTCTTATAGCAGATGTTGAATAGGGGATTCTCCATGGGCCTGGAGGCTATGACTGGCAGCATTTGTAGGGTCAGGGCAGTGCATTTGCTGCTCCTTCAGCTCCCCACAGCAGACAGATCTGGATGGATGTCAGGATTTTTAGCTGTGCGGATGCCAAGCTCTATAATTAATCTGGGAAAGGCCTGGCTGAAAAGAAATCCTGCCATACTATGGAATGTGGTGTAAGTGTGCAGGCAGCATCTCTTTAGGTACTTTGCAGTTATTCCCAGAACGGTGAATTACTTTTAGATCTGTCAGGATACCAGGTGCTGTAAACATATCACTCACTCTTATAAATGAAGCTTTTAAAAGAAATAATATTGTAAATACCATTCCTTTTAGTCCACTTATGGAAAAGGAAGCAAAATGCTTCTAGCTTTGTGTTTTTCATAATATTTTTAGTATTTGTATTAGTAACAAAAAACTTGCTCATTTGTTATCTGTATCTTCTAGGATTATCTTGTTTTGAAAACCTACATTAAACATTCTCATTTCCAGCCTGTAAAACTGGGGAATAGCTCAGAGCTCTGAAGTCTATAAATACACCTATTTACTTTACCCAGGACGTCATTTTCCTGGACAGATTCCCATTTTTTTTTCCCTAATCTTGTAACTTAATATAATTTATGTTTTTCCCAGTGGGCTGTTTAAAATATCTCTGGACCGTGCATAACATGTACAAGTCTTTTTTTTTTTTTTTTAATTGAGAAGAGAGGGGATTTTGAATCAATATCTTAAATTCTTGAAGCAAAGCATCTTTGTGAAACGTGGAAAAGGACGGGCGTTTTGAAAACACAAACCACGTGTTAAGTAACATAATGGGTGGTGAGTGTGTAATCTTAACATAAAAGAGATGCAGAAGTGATGGCACTGGTGAAACCAGAATCATCTTTAACTCTGACACATGTAAGGCTGTCTAATAATGTTTCCCTTGGAAGGGAGTTAAGCTCAACAAACTCCTATCAGTGAGATCAGAATCGCGCTAGGTTTCTAAGTGCAGAAGTGTTAT